ATTCCAAAGGTCGTAGGTTCGAATCCCACCGTGGCCGGGCATATTTTTCAAGCTCGCCCGGTGTGGATATACACTCAGAGTAACACCACAAATATCATATTCACCTGAGTACACTACACCAACACAGAAAAAAATTTGTCTTCTTCTGTTTGTTGCAAAACCTGTTGTAGCACTCCCAGCGAAATTTGCAGTAGGCTGGTATTGGCAGAAAACTCTTGGCATTATCTGTGTGCGTTGTCTCACGCTGTGAATCGAGACGCAAGTCAAGTTTCGCCTCCGAATCATGTGCGATTTCACCTTCTTTACATATAAATTTCTTCCACTTTGCTGCGAATATCACAACATTTCACCATGATGTATATGTAAAAGATGTTAATTTTCCTCTTGCATTATTTACTATATGGCATATAATGCAAAAATCTTTCCCTGGCGGGTCTGCCTTCGCCGACGGAAGGCATATTTGTTTACAATTTCTTTGTTGTTACTGAAACATGATACTCTTATCTGATTGGTTTATCGCTGGGCAAAACCCGTTTTGATTCGTTAAGAGATATAAACATGCTGTGTATTTGAAAGGAAGTATTTAGTAAATTCATACAAATATTATTCAAGAAAGCGGTTAATTTTTCTCATGAATGTTCAAGACTCACGATTGGCATACTACATAATTTTCTTCACATGTGCTAATAGTTGTTGAAGAAATTTTTTGGTTCCCGAGGTGCGTATTCAAAAGTCACATTTTTGACACTTGGCCCATGGCTATATGGCTTTCGGGTAATTAATGATTGCTCCGGGAGGTGTTAAATTAAATTACTCTCCCTGATTTCTATTAAGTATTTCTCACTAAGTATTATATGACTAGGTTACCTTAGAGGTAGTGAATACTGCCTTTTTGTCAGATTGCGGCAGACGGCCCCCAAATGTCCCCACAGTCACTTTTTGTAGGGCTATGCCACCTTATATAATGTTTACACTTTTTGTTTTGTTTTATTCTTATTACATGACATTACGTGATAATTTGTGAATCAACTTCATGTAAATATTAAAAATGGCAAAACTAAAAACGAGGATAGAACGTTAATATGCTCTTTTAATGAAACAACTCAATTGAGTAATGATAAAGAATCAAATTCAGAATTACTGAAAAGTTTCAAAATCTATTTAGAAAGAACGTCAATGTTCTAAAAATGTCTCAACTCGTTCAATGAAATGCTGCCTTTTTGCCACATAAACTGAATGCAAACGTTTATACTTCTAGACAATTCTCTAAAGGGAAGTTTACTTTTGACCCAATGGCCTCATGACCCCTTGGGTCAAAAGAGGATAAACCCCAAACAGCATTATTCATTAAGGTCTATTAACCCATTGATTAGCTGGCAATGCACCCTATAATTTTAGTATTAACTATGTCATTATATAGTATTAACTATGTCATTATTTCACTAACATTCTGGGGCTGGTTGTATAAAAAAGTGATTAAAGTTAACTATAATTAAGTGCAAACTTCATCCAATAAGAAGCGCGTATTTGAGAGTTAATCACTATTTAAATACAAAATAGTAATTAAAAAAGTGATTAAGAGTTTTATACAACCGGCCCCTGTATTTCATATCGAGAAAAAAACTTGAATATCTTCTAAACTCAAAATTTGCTCAGAGTCAATGTGAATAAAATACTCCTTGTATTCAAGCGCTTTCATGTAAAAAGTTTCGTTTGAATACGGCATGTAAAAATACTTAAAATTTTGAATTTTTCAAAATATCGGGTTTACTCGCACGCACGCCGCATGTAAACAGCGCTTTGTTTTGACGTACGTTTCACGTGCCGCACTAAAAATGTAAATATTTTGTAAATACCGAAATAAAAGATGAAAATCTCAAGACACAAGCTTGAAAATAACACTCTAAATAGTGTTTTGGACTGTGGTTCGAATAAGACTATTACAAGAAAGACATGTCCAAAGGAGCTGAAATTATGTTCGGCGAAATGTATGGAGGTCATAACTAGCTTTATATCACACTTGTGTCGGTTTTCTTTGTTCGTCCGAGGTTTATAACTAGCTTATAGACCTTGAATAAATGATTGGATTAAACTTGTAGACAAAACGCGAGAATTTTTCATTAAAAAGTTTTGAAAATGACAAAATATGTTGGAAAACCTCCACAAGTGTGATATAAGTTAGTTATAAACCTCGAAAGTCGGTTTATAACTGATATATATTATACCTCACAATGAGCTTGTCCAATCGGGGAACTAAATTTGTACCACATGACCATGGTATTTTTCAGCGAATACTATGACCTAGGCAATTTGAACCCTGGGTGTTTTACCCGGGGCCATGGTATTCGACTTCGAATACCACGCTTGAGCGGGAAATTCGACTTTTTTAAATGTAAAGTTATCAAAAGTTGTGTTTTGAAATTAAAAGTTAATTGAATGGTATTTGTTTTCTACTTATTTTTGAAAGGTTCGGTATAATATACCATTTATAGACCTTTCCTCGGGGTATTCCACAAAAAATTACCCTGCGGGATGAAATATTCCTCGGGCTTCGCCTTCGGAATATTTCATCCCTCAGGATAATTTTTTGTGGAATACCCCTCGTTTCAGGTCTATAACTGATAAATATACTGATATAAGGTCAATATATCAGTTATAAACCTCATACTCGGTTTATAACTCTTACTTATGTATTGTGGACATTTGACTAAAAGTCTAAAATTATCGTTTAGTATAGGAATTACGAGATTTTGTTTAACTGAATCGAATGGTAGTATATTTGTCTTCATAACATACACCGAACCAATGATATGAACATTAGAGGGGTTAAGATACCCCGGACGAGCATCGCCATTCTGTTTACCAATTTTTGCTGATGTCAGCAATTTTATCCGTAATTTCTACCCGTTTCCCCGCGGTAAACCGTGGTCTACACGTAAACGACAAACGGGTACGGGTGTTTTCTGTTTACTATTTTCGGGCCGTTTAAATAGTACAAATTTTCAACATCTTACCCAAATAAATAATGCACATATGCTGGTCAAAGTATTCAACAATTTATGGCGAACCTCAACAGCGAAAGTTGTCATTCTCTTATCGGTTTTCTCACGCGGGAGTATCTTGGATTTCTTAAGTTACAAATTATTCCCCGATTTACGGGTACGGGTACGTGTATATCACCCGTACCCGTAAACCGGAATCGGGGTATCTTAACCTCTCTATTGCGAAGTCATAGAGTTGAGAGATATTGAAGACAAAGTATCCTACTGCATACAAATTGTTTATCGCGCGCACGAAATTATGGTAGCCGACCAGCTCGTCGCGCACAGAATTCTGGTCGCCGACCACAATGCCAAGCGGCAAGTTTTCTTAAAAAAACACCACTGCATGATTTAGGACTGCTGCTTCCTCGCCCGCTGAAGGCTCGTTCGCTGCGGCAGCAACAACTACTTCACCCTGGCAAAAAATTTCTTAGTGATTCCATAATGCGGAGTTTCTACTGTCGGGACAGTGATGATGAACAAATTCAGAAAAGCATGATGAAAAACAAAGAACACATGCAATGAAACACAATAAAAACAATGCTTCAAACGATGTTTGTTTTCTTATAACCATATATATTAACAAATAACGATGGCTACATGTGTTACAGTTCTATGTTCAAACTGCTCTAAAAATGTAAGATGAATTATCAGTTAAGTTGTAGATTGTGCGAAAATAAAGAGCTAAGGCTACGGCTTTACAAATTGGAAGATTTCAATACTTCGCGCGTATCACATACGAGTATACAAAAGCTATTCTATATAGATCATACCAACGTAATGATTATTATCTAGTTCGCAATGTATAAGAAAAAAAGTTTCAGGCTTACTCAATTTGCGCGGAAATAAAGAGACAGGCCAATACCGGGGCGAGGTACTTGACAATGATTGTCATACAGAGTGTCAACGCCATATTGGTTTGCCGGACCAAAGGTGGTGTCGTGGGATGCACGGCACATGCCATGGCCGATATTCAAAGTTGTTAAACAATCACAATTATCATCATCAAGAAGGATTGACTTTACTCCATTTTGTTCACGGTACATGAAGGAATCTTGTTGTGCTTTTGGAGCGGTTCCAGAAAGGGTCACCGGGTTCCATGGCTTGCTATTTGTCACTTTGCCGGCGGGTGTCGTAACGTGATCGTGGAAGGCTCGCCAAACAGCGTGAGCTGTCGGATTTGTGGAATCAAACTTCCATTTGTATGTGTTTCCAGCGGAATCTACCGCCAACATCTCAGTTGAATCTTCTCGAGCCCATGATGGCAATCTTCCAAAACAGTAGTGATCGCGTGGGCCACATGTGCCATATGCATGACCAATGACGTCATTCTCATTCGAAGCAGCTGGCCACTTAGCATTGGCAGACCACCACCAGAAAGCAAGCCAATTTCCACCATGCGTGCACAGGGTCATGGGACGAGATGTCGAGAAGTAAAGTGTCAAACCAACCGAAGGACGAGGTGTATTGCAATGATCATCATACAACGCATCAACACCATACCTGAGAGAGAATATTGCATTTAATAATTATGTGATTATTACGTTTCCAGAAACTCGTTAAAGAAACTTAATAATTATTTCACATTTGGTACGTTTTACGATCGATCACGACGATCAGCGGACAATGTGCAAGTAGGCGTATTTCATTTAGGACAAACATAAAGCGATAATAAACAATACGAACATTTTAACGGATTTCCGGGCCCCTCTGAGCACTCCGGTCCCCGGTATTTTGCCCCCCCCCCCCTCTCGCCGGCCTTGTTGGTGTTATGCAAGCGACGCCTTTATTTCAACTGTATGTGCCGCTTCTATTAATCATCTATTAATCTTCTATTAATCAGTGGCGTAGCCAAGAGGGAGTGGGCAAGGAGGCTCTGGGTATCCCCCACTCAATGGGAAAAAGGGCTGGCCTTGTGAAAAGCTGAAATCCGGGCAGAAATGGGGTACAATGTGTGAATAATGATACCCATTAATAGTGTGATTCATTTCTGAGCAGTTCGAGCCCTTCAGGAGAAATGTTAGACATTATTCGAATTTTTGTTATATGACAAACCTGAAAAATTTCCATGCCTTTTTTGAAGAATTTGTAATTTTTAGCCGTTTATCGCTGTAAACGTCTAAAAATTTTAGATTTCCAGATGCAATGAAAACAAACATCTTGAAACAGGTTACAACGTTGGATACCAAATTGGGAACAACTCGTCACTGACGTCTTGGTTCTTGAATTTGATTGGATAAAATATCACGAACAAAGAGAACCTGTCAATCAAGTTTTTTAACCAACTAAATCATTTTTATCTGCCACAAACAAGACCGTTGTTTTAATTTGAGTTGATTATACGAGATATATTAAAAAGTTGTTAAAAAGGTGAATTAGCTAGGTAAAGAAATAGTACCTAAACACAGATTTCTTCAACTATTCAACGTTGTATAATATGCTTTCAAATTGGCGATTCTGCAGCGAGAAATGCAGTTTAAGGCGCAACAATGACTGAAGCTTTGTACGAGCCTAATATTTCAAGTCCAAATTTGCCAATTTTTTCAAAAATGTGCAAGTTTGTTGTCATATAAATTGTTTTCGTTGAAAAACTACTTCTTGACATTTGGAAGGTTGAGTTTGTTTAAGGCTTTTTTGATGCTGTTTTCCTCAACAAATTTATTTTATTACTGTTTAAATGCTCACAACTTGACATTATATTCGAGTCAGGAGTCGCCTTTGACCTTGTGTTTTTTCCGTAGTGTGTTCTTCACTCAAAAGTCGGATTTTTGCCTCGTCCTAACCTGGAAAAACCTGTTTAGACAAGGGCAATACGGATTTTTACCGTGTAATCGGCTCTCAGATTTTCCGTTTTCTCATGACCTAATTTGGTAAAATCACGTCATTCTCATATAATAAATTATGGGGATAAGAGATCTCTAAACTTTAGTTTTGTAATTTTATATGATCAATATTATATTTGCGATATCGTACGTTAAAAAATGATAAATTTTTCGGCTATGTTTACAAAAATGCAAAACAGAGTGCACTATAGAGGATCGGAAGTGGGAAGGATATTGTATTTAGACAGTAACATCTCAACTCGTATATCGAGTAACAATGACACATAAAAAAATAAATTAGCGACAAACCTTTTCACTGGTCCATATGAAGTACTAAATGTTGTTCCACACAACCCGTGTCCCATGCTTAAAGTAGAGAGACAGTCACAGTTATCGTCATCCAGTAAGAATGATTTTACACCTTGTTGGTCACGGTACATAAACGAGTCTTGATCCTGAAATAAAATAAATGTTGCAAAACATAATAAAAACTAGTTGAAGGACAATGGCAATAAAAATTTTTATTGTCTTTAATATTTGAAAGAACGATAAATTTTTGTTGAAAATATTTCATATCTTGCTTGATACTAGGAATATCTTAACCAAAATTAAAAAACTATGCGCTATTCGCCATCTTGGCTTATTGAGGATATGCATCGTTTTGCATTTTGACAACCAGTGATCAATACGAACCCGAAACTCGTTTTTTGGCTGTTATTTCAAATGTCGAATTGAATAAAAACATTTTAAACAACTTTTAATTGTTACTCTGTAACTTAGAAGTAATTTTATGTGGCTGACTCGATCCACGCCTGAGATTAATGTCAGTAATTTTATTTAAACAAATCTTTGCCAGAACGTACGAGCCTCTAAATTCAAAATTTGGCGGACACCCACTACCTGTAGCTCCCCATCCATTTGTGCCACCTATATACAAATTAAAAGTCTATCATAATTTACAACGTTAGCTATAAATTTGCAGCATTAAATATAGATAAAAATCCTTTGACCCCCCCCCCCCAAGTCAAACACGGACGCTTCGTAACATCCCTAATATGTGCAGTTCTAAATTTTTCTCAAAATAAACCCGGGTGTAAAGAATCTTGCATTGGCTCCTAACGCGGGACGAGAATTAGATTGAAATATTACAAAACGTGCCGAAGCCTGCAATAGTTCAAGCAATGTGAACCATATTGTTAAAAAAGCGGGAAAACGCCTTTATATGCTAAGGTTGTTAAAACGATCAAATGCCGACAATAGCATTCAAATTTTGGTATACTGCACCATTATCAGACCAGTACTCGAATATGCCTGCCAAGTTTGGCACTTCAATATTACAGAATACCTAAGTGAAGATATCGAAAAACTCCAGAAGCGGGCTCTGCGTATTGTCTTGCCATTCGCTACTTATAGAGAAGCTTGCAGTATTGCTGGTATACCCTTACTGAAAGATCGGCGGCGATTATTATGCGAACGTTTTTTTGTTAAAAATGCACATGGAGACAAATTGGGTGACCTCTTACCGCCTAAACTTCAACATAACTTATAATACACGTTATGGAAGCGATTATAATAACTATAGTTGTAAAACGGACAGATTTATGAAATCTTTTTTTCCACAGATGGTTTCACATATGAATAGACCATAATTTTAATATTTTTAATATTTTAAAATTTGAACTCTATAACTTTTTCAACTGAAGTTATGAATAATTTTATGCATCTAGATATTCTATTGTAGTATAATGAGACTTTTTACTGATGTAATTTAACCTAATAGGTTACACATCGGTATTTTATTAAATTATTATTATTAAATTATTATTATAATAGTTCCCTTGATGGGTTTAAAAAGAAAACGTATCGTCTCTTTAAGTGCTTGATATAAAATACGAAGAGAAAGCACTATGTCCTGTTTCTTTTCTGAGATCCATTACGGCTTTACAACTGATTATTTGTAACCGAAATCCGCACTACTTATCCGCGCCAGTGTCCGTTGCGACTGGAAGCGCGGACGAACGTTTTAATAAGTATAGCATATTAAATAAACAGTTGCAAAATAAAGAAGTATAGAAGAAATTCGAAGGCCAGTTATTAACATATCATGCCCTTTTGTCATTTATTTGCAACATTGCACAATATTATGCACATATTCAAATAATCATAGAGTACAAAGCTTGCCCAACGTTGATGGAGATTGCCTGTCCAACACAAAAACGTTTCCGTAATAACGTTTCCCAAATTAATGTCGGCTGCAGGGGTTGCAGGAGGGGGTGGGGGCGGAGGTGGGGGGGGGCTGCGAAAAATTCTCAGTTATGACATGTTCCAAACTTTTACATCAACTATTTTATCGTCCTTTTCACTAATTGCCCGATTTCCGAATAATCTGCTCGACTTAAAATGATTGGTGGTGAGTCAGCGGTGCTGCAGCACATATTGGATGTAATTTCCGACCAAATTCACAAAACTTTGGCTGGGCAATTTGTTGTATTTACTATTATAGGATCTCTATCTGGTTGTCTCATCCAGAGCCCAATTTTCAACGAGTGATCGAGGAAAAAGCGCTCTTACCCAAATGTTTTACAAATTCCGCCACATGTTTCACAAAACGCAGGAAATTTAGAATCCCACATGGACTGACCTCAATTTCTATAATCCCTTCGTTTAAATAAGTTAAAGGAAGTAAACTCTTTGTACTCACCTTCTTCGGTTTTATCCCTTTCTTCACTTGAGGGTTCCATGCTCTATTATTTTGGATTTTAGTTGCCAATGTAATTTGATGATCATGAAGTGCTTGCCAGGCCGCGTGTGCTGTTGGATTACTGGAACTGAATTTCCACAGGTAAGTATTACCAGCGGTATCTACTGCTAAAAGATGCGTAAAATCTTCTACTGCCCATTTTGGTAATCGCTGGAAGCAATACACGTCGTATTCTTTGCAATGTCCATATTCGTACCCTAAGACGTCGTTTTCGGTTTTCGGCCACGTTGCATCTTTTGTCCACCACCAAAACGCCGTCCATTCCATGCCATATGCCGTAAATGACATTTCGTTTTCAGTTCGATAATATAAGCGAAGTCCATTGGAAGGCTTAGGAACACCACAGGTTGGGTCATAAAGATTGTCCACACCGTAGTCGTTCCCTTTCCCAGCACCTGCACCGCACAATGATCCTCCGATATTTAAAGTAGATAAACAGTCACAGTTATCATCATCAAGCAGCACGGATTTAGTAGATCCTTGAGTGCGATACATGAATGAGTCTTGATTTATACTTATAGAGTTTCCTTTAAGAACAACTGGGTTCCAGGGTGACGCATTTTTAACAGAGGCAGCGGCTGTATCAATATGGCTGTGAAACGCCTGCCAAGCTGCATGCGAAGTCGCAGCTCCAGAGTTGAATTTCCATTTATAAACATTTCCAGCAGTATCCGTAGCTAGTATCTCCGTCTTGTCCTCGTATGCCCATGCTGGTAGTCGTTGGAAACAATAAGCATCGCTGCCATAAAATGAGATAAAGAACATTATTTCGCGATATATGAAAGTCTATCACGATAATAATGTTCTGCATGAAACTTAACAGAAATCAGTGTATTATGTTTTAGTTTGAGGTTATGTTAATTTGTGCACGGTCAAGGTGATTGAGCTCATATATTTTAGTACAATGAAATAATCGTCCAATAAAGATATCTGAGAGGAAACCTGCAACCATGACGAATAATACTTAATGAAGTTGAGCCAAAGGATTTGTGCACGGTGCCGTACAGTTCAACATAAAAAGGCCTTCTATTTCGTATCTTTGAAGTTTGCCGGGTTTTCAGAGCATCATATCTTGACGGACTATGATTCGTGTAATACTGTATTGACGCCCATATCTAATTACCTACGAACATTTTACATAATTCCAATTTTAGAAGTCGATCCGCTTGACTGGCTGCTCAATTTTGGTTTCTCCTAATAATTTTAATAAATTTGGCTTCTTCTAATAGTTTCTTGTGGTACAGCCTTAATTATGATTTAATGTCGGAATTCTGGTAACTATGATTACAAAAATAATAACACTTCGCAGAAATTGTGTGCTTCTCTATCTCAGTATGGGTTATGGATTTCTTTGAAAGTACACACTATAAATAATACATTAGAATGAGAATTAACATCTAAACACGATCTTCCAGGCAATAATATTTATTTTTCATTACGTATTCTTGAAATATTCGACTCCAAAACCACCACATTAAATAATGAGGATCTTCCAGCAAGATATATATGTTATTTACCGGCTGCGAGGTCCGGATGAGAAAAACTGTGTCCGAGGTCTTGAAAACTGCCCGAGCCCGAAGGGCGAGGGACGTTTTCAAGACCGAGGGCACAGTTTTTCTCATCCGGACCGACGCTGCCGGTAAATAACGTGTTTATTTTTATCAGATGTAAAAATTAAATTCATTAAAATTCCAGTGTTGCTTGCGAACTAATTTGAGATCAGAGAAGTTGTGTATTTTCAAAGCGAGGCTGACAAAAATTGAAAAGTTGAAAGATATAAAACACGAATACGAAAACTAGAGAAAACTGGCAAGAAACACACAAAAAGACGTATAGTTTCAGCTAGTAAAAATGCCCTGATTTTTTCGTGAATATAGTAGCAGAGAAGCTTTGGAATAAAAACTTTTATTTATGCCTGGCGCTTTGGCTTTGACAAAATCAGTTGCTCCTGACAACGACAGATTCATGTTCAGATCCATCAAAAACATATAAAAATCAATCAGTTTTGATTTAATCGACGTTTTTCTACTAAAAAGACAATGATAAAGGTATGTTACTTTTATATTTTTGTATTTTTACTTGTCGTTTCACGATAATATGCTTGAAAAAAGTGTTTTTAAACACAAACTTTTACTTTGTAAACAATATTTATCGAGGGGCATTTCACTCCAAAAATCCCGTACACTTCGTCAAAAAATCCGAACATATCCGGAAAATCCAGCAGATTTTGTCTTCAAAAATCCGCTAAAAATCCGGGAAAAATCCGCGGATTTTTAAAAATCCGAAAATCCCGTACGCTTCGTCAAAAAATCCGAACAAATCCGGAAAATCCAAACAAATCCGGAAAATCCAAGAGATTTTCTCTTCAAAAATCCGCTAAAAAATCCGGGAAAAACCCGCTAAAAAATCCGCGAATTTTAAAAAATCCGAAAATCCCGTACGCTTTTTTGGAGTGAAATGCCCCTCGATATTTATATCAGTGAAAAATGCATGACAGAAATGGGTAGAGAATATATTCGTAATTTGTTTTCACTGCTGCAGTTAAACCTTCTTTTAAATGGGAAAACATTAATTTTGCAATCATAGTGTATATATCAGTTGAAGCTGAAATTTTTTCGCTTTTAAGTGCATGGCCCAATACATGAGCATTTAAAAAATATATAGTTTTCTCGACGTATATTAAGTTTTATACATGTCAAATAACTTCCGACTTTCTGTCGCATTTTTATCAAAATATTGTCAATTCGTGTGAACATCGTGCTTAGTATGAAGCCTTTAGGGCTTGATGCAATTCATTTTCGTATTCTGACTATTGTTAGGCTATGTTTTGCAGATTTTTCGTTTAAAAAGTGTTTCACTCCTCATGCAGTTTTTGGCACGAAAACCAGAGCGGGCAGTTGCATTTCACAGCGGGCAGTTACATTTCACAGCGGGCAGTTGCGTTTCAGAGCGCAAAAAACCGGTCCTCTCTGAAAGGCTCCTCGGCCAATCAGATTGCTTCATTTTCACTGATAAAAAATAAATGATGTTATTTAATTAACATCGTATCTTATAATTACAACATTTATATTCTTACACCGCTTGTGGAAAACAGCTTGCTACTCACCATTATATCCACCTGCTTGCATTGCCTACTGTATCTACAAACTGCACCTACCTATCATGGCATGTTCCATAAGGATCCCGTAGGACGTCAGTGACTTCAGGTGTTCTACATTTTGGCCATGTTGCACCAGCTGAAAACCACCAAAATGGGCGCCATCCTGGACCGTACTTACTAACACTTCTTTTGTGATCAGCTCTGAAGTATAGTGTTAGTCCTTTGCTCACGTCAGGTATTCCTTTAATGTCGTAAAGATAATCCACTCCAAGTCCCTTGAATGGACGGTCTTGATCCATGGCATAACCCATGCTGAGTGTAGCGTAATAATCTCCATTATCATTATCCAAAAGAAATGACTTCAGTCCCTTCACATCACGATACATAAAGGAATCCTGATTTTCTTGTGGTGGTTTTCCAACCAAAGCTTTTGGGTTCCAAGGTTTTGAATCTCTTATCTACAACATACAAAATGTAATGTTAAATACGGATAAAATGGTTGATATATTACGATAGTGGTGGACAAATAAGATAGGTTTAGCAATGCTGATTATATATGCCAACCAGAAAGCTACATAGAAAGTTCAATCAGTTGCTTTCATTGGTGGCGGAGTTATATTATTATGTTTTCTCAATTATAGTCCAAGAATATAACCAACGACACATCTGTTAAGTCTCCCGGCGATCATTCAAGATCAAGCTTAGCGGCTTAGCAGAGGAGGAAAAGATCTAAGGGAATTGAATGACCTTTCTCAGTTTATAGACAACTTTGCTCTGTAAGTTTAATTGGGTAATTCATTAACATTCACCAGAGTTTCCTGCTAACACATTACCTTTCTGAACGGTGTACCTATATGATCATGTAGGGCTATCCAAGCTGCGTGAGCTGTGGGGTTTTTTGAATCAAATTTCCATTGATAGACTGTTCCTTGTGAATCGATTGCCAAAAGTTCGGTAAAGTCTTCTTGCGTCCAGGTTGGTAATCTCTGAAAGCAGTAATAGTTATACTGTGAGCACGTGCCGTATGCATGTTGTAACACATCTTTTTCATGTGTCGGCCACGTGGCGCCAGGCGTCCACCACCAAAATGCAGTCCAGTGTCCGCCGTACTCGGACAGCCGGAGTTGTTTTTGTTGTCGGAAGTATAAGGTTAGTCCAATGGTAGGGCGCGGGCCGTGGCAACCAGGATCATACAATGCCTCTGCTCCAAACGCACCAGCTTTACTGAATTTTGGATTATGAGCTGCCAAAAAAATTAATAATGGTGAATATAAAGCGTCTTAAAACTACGAAAGTTTCTGTGATCACAGTAGGAATTTTTCATAGGTAAATTTTGAGTTTTGAAGGATTTCTAAGAATTGTTTGAAGGAGCTGACTTATTGTCTAACACTGATTTGTAAGAATTGTTTGAGGAAATGTCTTCTTCAAAACTTAATCTACTGTAATCACAAAAACTTTGACAGTGTAAACCAGTCTTTAAAAACACATATACAGTACACACGTAAAAACGCACAAGTTGTAACAAGCCTGCAGCAGATTGTAGCAATGCTGTTCCAACAACTTGTTAACAGGATGTGTTCGCACTGCTTGTTCCCATCTTTTTGATAAGTTGTCAACGGCTTGTTGACAAGCTTGCTACAAGCGTGTTGCGAACACATCTTGTTGACAATTTGTGAGATATTTACGTGTGTAGCTCTCCATTGGACATCTAGAAAAAATAAGAGTGGAAGGGCCAGGAACTCCTGGCGCTTTTCCCAACATGCATGGCCAGTTTAACTTTCTGAAACTTGTCGGAACAGACAAGGATCGAGGACTTTTGCTTCTGCTCAACATGTCAGACTGCTTAAATTATGTTACTTATTTACAGCCTTTTAAAGAATTTTATTGCCATTATTTTAATGTTTTTATTTTGACGGAATTCAAGTCCCATGTGTCAGATGTGAGCAATCCGAAAACTAGGAACAATTCTTCCGCATATTTATCCCTACCCGTTCATCGGGGAATTTCCTAGAAATATCGCCCTACTCAACGAACTTTCTGTAACCTAGCTGTTGCAACCTCAGATAATCCTTGACACGAAATTGGATTTCCGAAATGTTGGGTGGTGAATTCAATTTAACTGTGTTTCGCATTGGTCTACGTTAAAAATAACTATTAAAGTTTCAACAACAATGTTTTTACAGCAATGTTTCCCAGTTTCCCAAGGCTTTACTGACCTGAACCACACATGCCATGTCCGAAACTGAGAGAAGACAAACAGTCGCAGTTATCATCATCAAGCAGGATAGATTTCACTCCATTTTGATTTCTGTACATAAAGGAATCTTGATTTTGTTTCGGTGCGGTACCTTCTATGGTATCCGGATTCCATGGCTTGTTATTTTGTACCTACAATAATTGAAATTATTATGTGTTTAATTAACCCTTTAAGCTGCAGTGTAACAGATCTGCTACAAATAGAAAAGTGCGCGAATTTTTCGCAGCCTGGGTCTAGTTTCTTTTTTTAACCCACAATGCAATACAGCCCACGTTGTTCACATTGTTGACATTAGTGATGGGCGATACCTGCTCTCCCTCCACAGAGGCTTACATGAAGTTTCTAGTGAGGGGAAAGTGAGCGCGCGAGGAGCGATGGGAAGAGCTAAATAAAGGAAGCCTCTGCAAGTTAATGCAATCAATATGGCGTCGTATATAATCGTTTGTAGCGAAGTTTGATCAACCATCGGGGGTGTTAAAACATGTTTTCGACTTTCATTTTCAGGCGTACTTGAGTATCCTGGGGTGAATTCAATATCAATATCTTCTTCTGTCCATTTGCATCGAAAAATATTGTGAAATTGCAAACGAATATCGATGGATACGAGCTATCTAATTATAAATATCCTCTTAATTGCAACATTTTTTTATTTAAATGACTCTATTGAACTTCGACAATCAGATTTGAAGATTCATTTAAATTTCTTTCACATTT